ATAAAATTAGAAAAATAGAAACTAGTATTTTACATGATGTGGTATGTACACATCAGCCGCCACATCATGTGGTATAAAATTGTGGTATAAAAAATGTGGTAAGACTAGTATTATTCAATACAAAATACAAGGTAAATAGGAGCCCATAGCCAACAAACATTATATATGAATAAAATAAAAAACAAAATAAAAATAAAAAATAAGCTTAAAGAGTCTTAAAAGTAACTTCAACAGTCTGTTTAACAACATTTGAATGCTAAAATAGGTAAGCTACATCATCAAAACCCTCTCAAACAGCCTTGTCAAACTCAGTCATCAAAGCTGCAATATCTTTCTCTCTCTTCATGACTTGTAAGTTGACTTTGGCTCTTCAAAACATTTAATTTTAGTTTGAAAAATTAAAAACGCGCTTTTTTATTTTCAAACAAATAGATATATATTTTTCACATGTTTTTATATTGTTCATTCTTTTCCATAACATTGCATTAGTTGAATTGAAGAGTCTATTTGCTACTAATATTGGTGATGCTCTAAGTTTATGATTTCAGACTGAAGGCCCACCATAAGCTGACTTTCTTAACATGGGCCTACTCTAGGGATTTTGTTGTGAAATCATCATGGACTATAGCAGGCCCACACGGTGGCTTCCGTATGTCGATTAACGACAGCTTCGAAAAGCTTGGTTTTATGGTCGTAGACCCTTGACACAACTGCACACCGAAGAAAAGGACAAACGACATTGCGCAAAAGCAACAGTTTGACATTTGACCTAGAAGGATGCAATGACATTTGCAAGATCAAGTAATGTGATTCACATTTCTTTCAATTACATTTGAAATTGACAGCTTCATCTTGTTTTGCCAAACGCAGTGTGCCATGTATTTTGTCCAAACCCAATCAACACGGTCACTATTTTCAATCAATTTCATAAAATAATAATCAAAATTATCATCAGATTGTTCTTGTTTTCAAGGAAAATTATGTCACGTGGTCCTATCCTATGGGACCTTACTTTACAACAGCTCAGACAAAAAACGTGCATTCGAAGAGAGAAAAATGAGAAAAGCGTAGCACTCATCAGCCGTGTGTGAGACGTGAGCCATTAATGAATGAATATATATATATATATATGTTAAAAGTACCTCATTTACATGAATATATATATATGTTAACTATTTCATATATAATTTGGCTGACTCCGAGTCTTTGTATTTAGAGTCGTTTTATTTTGCTAAATCTAGAGCGTTCTAATAATCTAACCCCTTAGAACATGGCACATCATCAAAAGAATTTATTCTTCTCTAAACATATGTTAAGTTCAGAGCGTGTTTTTTAAAAAAAAAATATATATTTAAAATCTCTCTTCCGTGTAATCTTCTTTTCTCTGGATGAAAAATTGCCCATGGTTGAATGAATATTCAAATTCGAATGAAATGGAAAAACTCCAAAATTCTTGAATAGGTAATTTCTTTGAAGTAAAAATAAAGACAGATATATTGCAATCTGATTATGAGGGGAAGGAAAATTACTTTCTCGATCAAAAGAAAAAAGATTATGAGGGGAAGGAAATGACGACAAAAAAGTCATCTTCTGAAGCTAAAGAACGCATGAAACACTGAAGAAAAGCCAAAAACTATTTTAACTCGGTTGGGTTTGAAGATTAATACAACTATGAACGTTTTTCCATTGAATCCCAAGAGGGCATCAGTCAAGCAGGGAGAAAGAAGGAGATGACCAAAATGCAAAAAAGAAAAAGAAACTTGTTGTAAACTGAGGAGACATGAAAGCGAAGAAACAAAAATAACTCCAACCTAACATCAATAGTTGATGATGTGTCATATTTTAAGTTGTTGGATTATTGCAATGACATATATTTAGCGAAATGCAAGTAAATGCACTATCCCTAAATGCAGAGGCTCGAGATCCCAATTTGACAACAACAAAAAAACTACTTAAGCTACCTAATCTTGCAATTAATGAAATCATTATTTCAGACCTAAATAAATGACATCTTTATTATTTTGTGTAATTCATAAGAAACATTTGTTTTGTGGTACAAACTTATTACAAAGACAAATGAGATATCATTAATCTAATAAATAAGTAATAAAACCTCGACTTTCCGAACAAATACAACAGAACATGAGATCAGACGATAACAACTGTGTTAGACTTGGATCTATCTACTAAACCCACTAAATTGGGGTCCCTCAGAGCAAGAACTATATAACAACTACGTCTTTGGAAATTTGTGGTCGTTTCGTTTGCAAATGGGGGAAAAAAAAACCTTTTATCTCAGACACAAACCCTACCAACTTTGTTATTTTTCCTTCTTTTATTTTTCTTTTCTGTTGGCATTTCTAGATTGAGTAAAGCCAAACATTCAAAAAAACAAAAAAAAAACAATATTAATTTCAGTTCTGATGCCTCCACCTCCACGTACAAGTTGCAAGGAGGTCACTCAGTTTCAGATTCAGAGCTTATAATTGTTAATGCAACAGCTCGATTGAATATGCTGATTCTCTGTGTGCATGCATGCCTTGCCTTCCAATAACATTTCATCTGCGACATTCCCATTGGAGGGCCAAAGAATCAAAATCAAGCCGGCCCCTGTTTTGTTTTGTAGCTTAAAAACTTGCATAGACAACTCATTAAGCTAAGTAATGCTACTTAATTAGCGAATAATTAAGCATAATGCATATATACTTGTCAGAATCTAGATAATATATCCAATTCCAACTGATGATGCAAAAACTACAACCACTAACAGTTGTTTTGTGCAGAGGAGAATGTATAAAACCAATCCACATCAATTGTTTTTGTATAAAACCAAATAATACTTGTCATGTTAATTATGGATTTTCTATATGCACCTAATAACACTTTAGAGAAATATGGCAAGTTGTTCTTGAATCTGTTTTTCTCATCTATTACATGAGTTTTTCTGCGTTAATCGAAGACATCATAAAAGTGAAGATCAAAATCGTATAAAGAATAATCCTAATTATATCTGTAATCAATACATGTACAGATTTAGAAGGCTGTACATGTATCACTGCTAATCATGACCTCATTAGACGTGAAATGTTAAAACGTGATACCATTTGGCAGTAAGTTCAATTCTTTATGTTGATTCTAGCCACGTTGTTAAACAGTTAATACAAATTATTCACAAATTTCTAAGTCTTCATATAATAAGATTAGATTGAACAACAAACCATCTATATAAAATCAGTCACTTCCAAAGACACTGGCGCCATAACGTGCAATTCTGAAAGAAAGAGAGACGGAGGGACATAACCGAGCAAGTTAGAGAGAAATGGGAAGAAGCTATCGTTGTGATAAGGATGGACTGAGTAAAGGAGCTTGGACTGCTCTTGAAGACCAGATTCTCATAGATTACGTCAAAGACCACGGCGAAGGGAGATGGGGGAAACTGTCAAGGGAAACAGGCGAGCCGACTTTGACTTTACGCACAAGTTTCTTAATTTCAATGCATGAATGATTATGAAAATGATAGAACATTGTTCAATTAGAAACATATATTATTGGATGCAGGTCTAAAGAGATGTGGGAAGAGTTGTAGACTTCGCTGGTTGAATTACCTGAGGCCTGAGATCAAGAGAGGGAACATTACAGAAGATGAAGAAGACCTCATCATCAGGCTCCACAAACTCTTAGGCAACAGGTACTGGCCTGTCACTTCAATTACTATATATTGCTTGCTACTAGCATTGCAACTGTTAAGGTTTTTCTCTTCATATGCTGCTTCGTTTATTAATACTACCAGGTATGCATTTTTTTTTTCCTTTCCTTTTTTGGATACCTGTAGATGGACATTGATAGCTGGAAGGCTTCCAGGCCGAACAGACAATGAGATCAAGAACTACTGGAACTCTGTTTTAAGGAAAAAGGCACAGGAAAGCCACTCAGAAAGGTCTAGAAATGAGTGGAAAATGACCAAGGACACTGAAAAAGCTGTCCCATCGTTAAAAATGGACTCACACTTCATCCAAAATGGACTCACACCAACAAGCTGCATCAATAATGAACAGCTTGGCACTAACAATACATTAGCAGAACCATTTATCTCTGGAGTTGAAGCAACGAATATGGAAGTAAAATCAGATTCCAGCGATGGATTCTTACCAATCGCTAGAGAGAACGATATGACGTGGAACTTCATAAGGGATCTTAATGCAGGCGAACTTGGGATATCTGAATTTCTACATACTGACTTCTCCAAACTTTGTGAGTTGAATACCACGATTTTTGATTGCACAAGTGGGTGCAGAAACGGGTCATTAATGTCAACCTCAACTGCTGAAGCTCCTTCGAACTTGCAGGAGTGGTTAAATGATTGGGCAGCAGACGACAATTGTCTTCCCGAAGCAGCATTTGGTCCTTGATTCTTCTATTACTGTGCATGTCAATACCAATTCAAAGGGCCAAGTAGATTTTCTAATCATACATCGTCCATTCAATGTTTTCAATGTATTTGCCAAGCTCTCTTGGTTTTGTTAGGATCCAATCCAACAACACAACCTTTTCTGGGAGATATCTTAAAGGATATGTCTTTTAGATTTTACCTCAAATGGAAACTGTGTCTTGAGCATTTACCATTACCGATTTTGGTAAAACAAGTGGTCATTGAGGTTGCTCGGAATTTCTATTGCACGTGCACCTATGACCAACTGAAGTGAAAATGACGGGTCATTTTGTGATACAATGATGTCCAGAGCTGGTATCCGGTTGCAGTTGTTACATGTGAGTGGGTGGAAGCTGGGTTGAGTAACATACATATGAATATGAGTTACTAATTTGATGAGTTAGTAGACTTAGCCAACAGTTTCATATGGTAAGATATCCTCCAAAATTTATCAATATGTTATATCCTAAAAAGAAGCATTTAATTTAACTTCAAACTCAGACCAAAAAAAAAAATTTAACTTCAAACTCCATCAGCAGTAAAAAGTTATACTGCTTAAGAAGGCTTGAAACTCAAGCAAATAGCATAATAAATGAACGTCAATGAATCTGAAAACACTTTTCAGTTCCTGGGTTCATAAAAGAACTGCAGGCTGTGATAATCTAACGTACCTTTCTAGTTCTGTCTGATGGTCACGCTCTACCTCATTCATCAGAATCATCATCATCAGTATCTTCCGTTTCATCCACGTTCTCGTCATCCTCACGGTTTTCCTTCTCCTTCCCAAGGTCTCCTTGCACATCTTCTACCTTACCACCAATAATGCCACCAAAATCCAACCTATTGGACCCCATTTCAGAGATTTCAAAATTGCCACTAGACAGATTATGTGCAACTCCTGCCTCTCTCCCTGCAACGAAGGCTTCCAAAAGATCTGAAAAACCTTGCTTTGGAATGTTATCATCCATGCTAGCTGAAGGGTTACTAGAATAATAGGAAGACGAAGATGAAGGGGCGGTGATGGGTGTTCCTGAGTACAGCTGATCCAACTGATTAAAATAAGAGCAAGTTTTGAAATTATGAGGACGCTTTTTGGCACTGTCTTTGGTTTTTCTAAAGTACTTGTTGATGTTCTCCCACTTTTGTTTGCACCTTTTGGCACTCCTTTGATAACCCATTGAACCCATTAAAGCACTGACCTCTTCCCAAACAGGCCCTTTCATCCCCGGTTCCTGAAACTTTGATTCTATACTACTTCGCACTAGAATCAATGCCTTAACTTCACTTTGAGGCCATCTGCTATTTGTGTGATCAATTTTGAAGGGTGTCAATTCCTCCACTGGGGGTTCATTTAAATTATCAGGCTGCAACAACAATGGGGCTTGCCTTGAAGGAAGATTGACTCTTTGGCCAGTGATTTTCTCAATGTATGAAACAATGAGTGCCTCTCTGCTTGAAGCCAGAGCCTGTTCATGGACTTTGGCAATGGCTTCTCTCTTATGGTTTTCAGCCTCTTGACTTCTCCATGCAGCTTCTCTCTCCCTCCTCTCTTTATCCATTCTTTCAATCACTTCCAAATACTTCTTATGAAGATTCTCTTGGTGATCCATAACCTGCTTCACCAAGCTCTCAAAGAAGCTAATCACTGAACTTAATTGTTTCTTCATTGTCCTCTTTCTCTTCCTCTTCTGAATCTTCCTCGGCGAAGACTCTTCTCCGATGGAGGCTTCCGACCCATTATCCACCCTAACTTGAGCAGTTGGAGCAACATTGAGGTCATGTGGATCACAAATAGGCACAGGCAAGTCTACATTTTTAGGGGAGTTTTCACCAGTGAGTGCAGAGCCAGAGCCCGTTTGATTAGCCTCGCCCATCTTTGCAAGGCTATAGATTGCTTCAAGCTCACCATAGAGCCTGTATTTGTTCTCCAAGTCCTTGCATATATCTCCTTCATTGGCTTCCTTCTGATTTCTGTTGGTCTCGGGAATTGCTGCATCGAGAGGCTTCCAGCTGCGGCATTAACACAAACACGTGCTATGTAAAAAAGGAGCAACATGAAAAACAGAGAAAACAAAGAACAAGTACAACAAAAGCACGTAAATCTGTGCATTTAGAATGTTATGAATAGAATTTTACCACATGGGTTCATGGGTTTGCCAACTTTTGAATCCTAAGTTATGCATTCGACTCTGAAGCAATCGAGGGTCGTCTCCATTTTCATCATCAAACAAACCAGCGCCAAGCAGAGCACTTTCTCCATTTTCACTGTTCTCATTGAGACCAAGCTTGAAATTTACAGGACCCAGCTGCCAGTGCAACCTTCCTTGCTGCTGCAATGCTTGAAGATGCTGGCGTTGAAACAAGTCGTGGGTAATGGGAGTGGGATGAACAAGGTGACTGATATGATATGGCTCAGGCTGCTCAAGTTGTTGATTAAAATGGTGGTGGTGGTTTTGCTTCTGATGATTGAAAATGGGCAAAATTGGTGAGCAAGAATTACTAGTATCCATCGAGTGTTGCTGGTTACCAATCTCTGATATGTCAAAATTAGACTGCATATCTTTTTATTCCAAGATTTCCAAGAAAAATGAACAGTTTTTGTTTCTAATTTGAAAGTGTTGTGGGGGGTGCAATGCTATTTGAACTTTTGAAGTTGAGGAGTAAAGTTTAGGGCTTTCTTCTTCTTCATCCCTTGTTTGCTGTTCTTGGGAAAGAAATCCTAACAGAAAGATCTTTTCAAAGGCTCAAACACATAACAGACTGAACCTGCAGAGAGTAATTGTAGGGAAGGATAAGATTGCAGCTCGTCTAGTCAGGTTACTGTTCTTTGTGAGTGTTTTTATTTATTTTAATTATATATATATAATTATTCATGAAATATTGTTTTAGAAATTAACAATATTTATGATTAAAAAAATATAAAAACATTACTATTTTACTTGGTTTGCAATAATTAAATAAATAGGAAAATATTAATAAGACAGGTAAAAAAGACCCAAAAAAAAAAACAGCTAATTAATTATCCTTCTCTTTTAAATTGACTACCATGAAAACTAATTCAAGTTTCTTTATCTTCTGTTTTTATTATTAGGAAAATCTCTTTATCCTCTAATATCATAACTTACATTGTAAAAAAAGGCGATAAAAATCATGTGGCAAATTGATAATATAATTTTACTTTAAAAAAAAAAAATCTTAAACCTCTACTAAATTCCAATTAATTTTGAATTAAATATTTTAATTTTAAATAAAATGATGTCCAAAGTACTTTATTAAAATATATAAAGAAATTATTTGACAAGAAAATGTATTCATAACTTTTTTTTTCTAATAAATTAAATAAAATTTAAAATTCAAACTATTGAAAATCAAATATAGTTTAATTTTGTAGAAATATCAGGTTTCCTTTGTATTATTCCTCGATGGCCATGCTTGCTGTCGCTGTGGTATTAAATGAGGGGAAGAGACTGGAGAGGAGCGGGGTGTACTGTAGCATGCACTGCCGGAAACCTCATGCGGGGCCCAGTGAGACACGTGTTCCAATCTGAAATTATATGTCCGACGACAACATAGAAGAGTGAGAGACACCCTTTTGGAAGCATACGATGTATTGTGGTTCACGTGAAGAGTAGAGTACGCGTTGTCCTGTTGTCGAGTTGTCTCCACCACTAATTCTCTGTCCGGTACGGATCTCGAATATCATCCAACGGCCAGAGTTTAAAATTGGCAAAGGCTCAGTTGACAAAAGTAGCATTATTGACATACGGCTATCTATAGACGCCACCATACAAGTTACAACAGCTCTCTTCTCCCTCACTCCCTTCCGACTTCCAAAATGATTGTCTAATTCTCCGCGGCAAAAAGAACACAAACCAAATCAAACCAAACCAATCACCTACGTCTGATTTAGGGACCATTGGATTACAATTTCAGACGTGGATTGGGCTAATTGGTTAGGATAGTGAACCTGCTCCGGATCCTTGCACTAAAATTTGAATCTTCTTTCTCATAAATTACACTATATGGGTATTCCAGTTGATTAACATAGTGAACCTACTCAATATGTGTTGCTTTATATCTCATATGTTTGTAAAAGGCTTGTAGGTCAAGTGATTAAGAGTATTTATCTAATCCGAGATCCTAAGTTCTATTTCTCCATTCTCTAATATCACTTGTATTGAAAAAAAAAAAACTCAAATATTCAATTGATTTGTTCACCAAACAAGGACCCAAGGGCCTAAATTAACAGTGAGCCCGCGCCCGAAACAGCAAAGACCAGGGTGGGCTGGCCCGAGCTTTAGCCACATTAGAGCCTAAAGGCCCACTAAAAGATGGCAAGGGGAGACCATGAAAACCCAATCTAAGGTCATTAACCAAGAACAAGAAGGTTCTTGAACATTTCTTTTTATCTGAGGTCACATCTTCATAAATTGCAATGTGTTTTTAGTTGTACAGTATTCTTTGGCTCACGGGGACCAAGGCACGCAGAGAGCATACTTTATTAATAATTGTCCTGTCTTTTGTCTCAAATATTTATCTTCGAAGTCGGCATTAATTTGCTGCCCGTGGGGTCAGTCAAGACTGAAAATGAAAGAACTTTTGTTGCTTGTTGAAACTTGGTCCTCAAGAAAAAAGAAAAATGACACCAGAGTTTGTCCACGATTCCGTTCATGGTGGGGGCATCAACAATGAAAAGTCAAAACTAAAAACTACGTGGGGTTTGCTTACTTTTTTTGACAAAAATATCAGCCACACATCCCCCATGTAGGGAGGGACCTATAAATTCATCAGTACTTTGGTCTCTCAGTTCCTCAAGCCAGCTTTAGTTTCATAGCAGCAAATTAGCACAAGAAAGAGAACCAAAAGAAAAAAATGGAAGATTATATTTTGATCAAAACGTTGACATTCTCCTTGGTTTCTCTAATTCTGTATTCTGTTGGGAGAGTTGTTCAAGTCTATTGGCTGAGACCCAAAAGCTTAGAGAAGCAGTTGAGGCAGCAAGGGATCAGAGGCAGAAGTTACAAGCTTTTCCAAGATGACTTGAAAGAGATCAAAATGTCCAGCGAGGAAGCATGGTCCAAACCCATGTCCCTCAAGCACCTGATTGCTCCACGTGTCTTCCCATTTTTCGATCAAATGGTCCAAAATTATGGCAAGCAATAACTATATATTATCTTTTCCCATACAATTTGAGATTTTTCATGTATGATTGTGATTGATGATATAATGGTGGTGACATTTTAATTTGTTTAGGGAAAGTGAGTTTGGGATGGTTTGAAACGAGGCCAAGGCTCATAGTTGCAGAGCCAGAGCTGATTAAGTTGATATTAGCTGACAAGAGTGGGCACATGACAAAGCCACCACTGAACCCACTTGTCAATCTTCTGCAATTGGGTGTCGCTACCTTGGAAGGAGACCAATGGGCCAAACGCAGAAGGCTCATAACTCCTGCTTTCCATCTTGAGAAATTAAAGGTACCTATCATATCAATATTTAATTAAAAATCTCACAAGTCACATCATATCATATGTGACATTATTGAAAAAACAAAAAACCAGGGGATGGTGCCTGCATTTGTGAACAGTTGTTCTGGTCTGATCAATCGATGGGAAAATTTAATTGGTGTTCAAGGATCATACGAAGTAGATGTGGCACCAGAGTTTCAAAATCTTGCTGGGGATGTTATAGCTAGAACAGCATTTGGAAGCAGCTTTGAAGAGGGGAAGAAGATATTTGAACTTCAAAAGAAGCAAGCTGTTTTAGTGCTTGAAGCCTATTATGGTTTCTATTTCCCAGGTTTAAGGTGTGTTCATTGGCATTAATTTAAAGTATCAGCTGAATTTTAAAAGTTGTTTATTCTAAGTTGTTTTAATTTGATGCTAGTTTTCTCTCTGTACAGATTCATACCCACTAAAAAGAACAAGATGAGGTACAACTTGGACAATTAAATCAAAACAATACTAAGGGGTATGATTAGCAGAAAAGAGCAAGCCATGGAAAATGGTGAAGTGGGTTCCAATGATTTGCTGGGTTTACTCTTACAGTGCAAAGAACAAGAGCAGAACAGTATGACAATTGAGGATGTGATAGAAGAGTGCAAGCTCTTCTACTTTGCTGGCCAAGAGACCACAGCCAACTGGCTCACTTGGACTATGATTGTCTTGTCTATGCATCCAAGCTGGCAAGAAAAAGCAAGAGAAGAAGTCCTACGTGTGTGTGGAAAGGAAACACCTGATTTGGGTGCCATAAATCGCCTCAAGATTGTAAGTTGTTTTCTCGCACGATTAATGTTACATGTAATACATTTAGTGATGATAAATAGTGTTACGAACATCAATTCAAACCAAAATGTTTTCCAGCAATTTGTTGCCTGAATTTTCCTTTTGCAGGTATCTATGATATTGAATGAAGTTCTGAGGTTATATCCACCTGTGACTGTTCTATATAGGCACACCCAAAAGAAAACCAATATAGGAGGCCTTTCCATCCCAGCTGGGGTTGAATTTGTGTTGCTGATTCTGTTTCTCCAATATGATCCAAAATATTGGGGTGAGCAGGTTGAGGAATTCAACCCAGAGAGATTTGCTGAAGGAGTTTCCAAGGCATCAAAGGATGAATTTGCCTTCTATCCATTTGGTTGGGGCCCTAGAATTTGTTTGGGCCAAACTTTTGCTGTGATAGAAGCAAAGATGGCTCTGGCTATGATTCTTCAACATTTCTCTTTTGAGCTCTCACCCTCTTACACTCATGCTCCCATTGTGGGCATTACCCTTCAGCCACAGCATGGAGCCCCTATTATACTTCACAGAATTTAAGATGGTGAAGCTGAAGCTGGTGGATTTGAATATGTATTTGCATAAATAAAAAGGGTGGATCTTCATGTAAATGTGAATTTCTCACATCCATTTACTTATAATAAGACTAGTTTTCAGTTTGAGTTTGGAATTCTGTTGTTTTACCAAACAAGAAGAAGAAAAAAGGTTACTGAATTAATTAAATAGCCGATATTTTATGCAGCTTTTTATCACATTATCACGTTCCAGGATGTCTTGCCTGGTCTATCAATCTGATTAAACTCAAGAAATCTATCACTTCCTTCTCTGCAAGATTTCTGAGTTATAGCCGAACAGTTCTAGTACCAATTCCACAAATGTGAACATTCTACAATAACATAAAAGGATTGTCACACCAACATATGATTTGTTAATTCAAGGAAAAAAAATCCTCACGGAATGGAAAATAAAAACAGAAGGAACAAACACGAAGTGGGATTTTCCTAGAATGAGCAAAAGGCCTCAAATGCAATAATAAGTAGTATCATGAAACCAGAAAAAGATAAGGGGAAAAAAGAAAGGAACGAAGTAAACCAACTCTCATCCATTTCAAGGAATTGATTCATCCACAGTCCACTCCAAGTTCTAAGGCGCTTCATCACTTGAGCAGTCAAAAAACTCATCTCATTAAAGCCAGACTTGAAGCTATCCTTGCATTTGGAGGCATCTTCTCTTCCAATTGTCAGAGCATTCACCTCCATTACCTTAATATTCTTAGTGTCAGAGGACTTTTGTTCTGCTTTAGAGACTGCTCTGTTTTGTCTTTCTCTCTGCTTTATCTTTTTGCTCAAATGGGAGTTCCAGTAATTCTTAATCTCATTGTAGGTTCTACCTGGTAGCCTTCCAACATCAATGACCACCTTAATTCAATAGCTACCCAATTCGTGAAATTGTCAACCCATATGTTCTATAAACATGAAAAGATGAAACAATCTATATTAAAGAGAAAACATTGTTCAAAAACTAGAACTTGGGCAAGCTCACATGTTTCCAAGGAGCCTTTGAAGCCAAAGTATCAAGTCTTCTTCTTGGTCTAAGATAGTTTTTTTTTTTTTTGGACGAAAGGGTCTAAGATAGTTCATCCATCTTAACCTGCAACTCTTTCCAAATCGGTCAAGACCTTCAAAAACCAGAAATTAAGATTTCTATATCTAGGTAATGTGTTTTTAGTTGTACAGTATTCTTTTGCTCTTGGGGACCAAGGCATGGAGAGAGCACACGTTAATCATTGACCTCTTTTTTGTCTCAAATACTTGTCCTCAGAGTCAGGACTGAAAATGAAAGCACTTTTGTTACTCGTTGAAACTTGGTCCTCACGTATATCAAGAAAAAGTTCCTCAAGAAAAAAAAAGTGACACCAGATTTTGTCTATGATTCCAATAACGAAAAGTCGAAAGTACGTGGGTTTTGCATTTTTGTGTCAAAAATATCCGCCACTCATCCCATGTATGTGCCTATAAATACATCAGTACTTTGGTTTCTCGGTTCCTCAAGCTAGCTTTAGTTTCATAGCAGCAAATGAATACAAGAAAGCAAAAATGGAAGATTATGTTTTGATCAAAACTTTGATATTCTCTTTGGTTTCTCTAATTCTGTATTCTTTTGGGAGAGTTGTTCAAGTCTATTGGCTGAGACCCAAAAGCTTAGAGAAGCAGTTGAGGCAGCAAGGGATCAAAGGCAGAACTTACGAGCTTTTCCATGATTACAAGAAAGAGATCAAAATGTCCAGAGTGGAAGCATGGTCCAAACCCATGTCCCTCAAGCACCAGATTGCTCCAGTGTCTTCCCACTTTTCTATCAAATGGTCCAAAATTATGGCAAGCAATAACTATATATATATACCCACACACATACAATTTGAGATTTCATGTATGATTGTAATTTGACATTTTAAGTTGTTTAGGGAAAGTGAGTTTGGGGTGGATTGATACAAGGCCAAGGCTGATAGTTGCAGAGCCATGGCTGATCAAGTTGATATTAGCAGACAAGAGTGGGGACATTATAAAGCCACCACTGAACGCACTTGTCAATCTTCTGCAATTGGGTGTCTCTACCTTGGAAAGAGACCAATGGGCCAAACGCAGAAGGCTCATAACTCCTGCTTTCCATCTTGAGAAATTAAAGGTGCATATGTCAATAATTAATTAAAAATCGGTTGGAGCGAGTCTCTCCTATTTTTTTCTACATGCTGAAATTGCCACGTTGAATTTAACATCTCCTTTGGATATGCCCTTAAAAGCCACCACATCATATCATATGTGACATGACATCAATTTAAACCATACTTAAACCAATTGGGAAAAAAAACTGGGGATGGTGCCTGCATTTATGACCAGTTGTTCTGGCCTGATCAATCGATGGGAAAGCTCAATTGGTGTTCAAGGATCATAAGAAATAGATGTGGCACCAGAGTTTCAAAATCTTGGTGGTGATGTTATAGCTCGAACCGCCTTTGGAAGCAGCTTTGAAGAAGGGAAGAAGATATTTGAACTTCAAAAGAAGCAAGTTGTTCTATTTCCCAGGTTTAAGGTGTGTGGTGCTACTTTATTATAAGTTGACAATGATAATTTAAACTACCATTGAATATTAATAGTAGTTTATTTTAAGTTATTTTTACGCTAGCTTTCTCTCTGTACAGATTCATACCCACTAAAAAGAACAAGATGAGGTACAACTTGGACAATTAAATCAAAACAATACTAAGGGGTATGATTAGCAGAAAAGAGCAAGCCATGGAAAATGGTGAAGTGGATTCCAATGATTTGCTGGGTTTACTCTTACTGTGCAAAGATCAAGAGCAGAACGGCATGAAAATTGAGGTTGTGATAGAAGAGTGCAAGCTCTTCTACTTTGCTGGCCAAGAGACCTCAGCCCACTGGCTCACTTGGACTATGATTGTCTTGTCCATGCATCCAAGCTGGCAAGAGAAAGCCAGAGAAGAAGTCCTACGTGTGTGTGGAAAGAAAACACCTAATTTAGATGCCATAAATCACCTCAAGATTGTAAGTTGTTTTTCGCATGTTTAATGTTACATGTACCATTTCGTGACGATAAATAGCGTTACGAACATCAATTCAAACCAAAATGTTTTTTAGTAATTTGTTACCTTATTTTTTTTTATTTTTTTATTTTTGCAGATCAATGATATTAAATGAAGTTCTGAGGTTAATATCCAACTTTGCCTGTTCTATATAGACACACCCAAAAGAAAACCAATATAGGAGGGCTTTCCATCCCAGCTGGGGTTGAATTTATGTGGCTGACTCTGTTTCTCCAATATGATCCAAAATATTGGGGTGAGCAGGTTGAGGAATTCAACCCAGAGAGATTTGCTGAAGAAGCTGCCAAGGCATCAAAGGATGAATTTGCATTCTATCCATTTGGTTGGGGCCCTAGAATTTGTTTGGGCCAAACTTTTGCTGTTATAGAAGCAAAGATGGCTCCGGCTATGATTCTTCAACATTTCTCTTTTGAGCATTCACCCCCTTACATTCATGCTCCCATCATGGGCATGACCCTTGGGAGCCCCAATTATACTTCACAGAATTTAAGATGATGCAGCTGAAGCTGGTGGATTTGCATAAAATAAAAAGGATGGATCTTCATGTAAATGTGAATTTGTCACATCCATTTACTTATAATTTACTTATAATAAGACTAGTTTTGAATCTGAGTTTGGAATTCTGTTGTTTCACCAAACCACAAGAAGACAAAAGGTTACTGAATTAATTAAATAGCCGACACTTTATGCAGCCTTTTATCTCTTTATCATTTTTCAGGGTCTGAAACAGTGAAATTATGTCACTTTTTCCAAATGGTCTATCAATCTGATTAAACTCAAGAAATCTACCACTTCCTTCTCAGCAAGATTTCTGAATTGGGCTAAAACAGTTCTAGTAGCAATTCCACAAATGTGAACATTCTGAAATAACATACAAAGATTGTCACACCAACATATGCTTTGTTAATTCAAGGAAAAAGAACCTCACACAGCGGAAAATAGATACAGAAGGAACAAACATGAAGTGGGATTTTCCTAGAATTAGCAAAGGGCCTCACAAATGCAATAACCAGAAAAAGAGAAGGGGGAAAAAAAGAAGGAACAAAGCTTAAATGTCATGCAAAGTAAACCAACTCTCATCCATTTCAAGGAATTTATTCATCCATTCCAAGTTCAAAAGCCCTTCATCACTTGAGCAGTCAAAAAACTCATCTCCATTGAAGCCAGACTTGAAGCTCTCCTCACATTTGGAGGCATCTTCTCTTCCAATTGTCAGAGCATTCACCTCCATTACCTGGATATTCTGAGTGTCAGAGGACTCTTGTTCTGCTTTTGAGACTGCTCTGTTTTGTCTCTCTCTCTGCTTTATCTTTTTGCTCAAATGGGAGTTCCAATAATTCTTAATCTCATTGTCGGTTCTACCTGGTAGTCTTCCAGCAATCAATGACCACCTTAATTCAACAAACGGGTACCCAATTCATAAAATTGTCAACCCAAATGTTTTATCAACATGAAAAGATCAAAGAATCGAAATTATAGAGAAATCATTGATATATAAATAAATAAATTAATTAAAAAAAAAACTAGAACTTGGGCAAGCTCACCTGTTTCCTAGGAGCCTATGAAGCCTAAGTATCAAGTCTTCTTCTTGGTCTGATATATTGCCTCTCTTAATATTGGGTCTCAGATAGTTCATCCATCTTAACCTGCAACTCTTCCCACATCGGTTAAGACCTGCAAAAACCAGAAATGAAGCCTGCTATATTAATATCTCCACAAAAAGAAATAGACTTTGGACATGTTTATATGTGTGTGTTGAAAATGAACCTGCTTTGGTTGCAACAAACTTCCACCTCTTTGGACCGTGGATTTCAATAACTTGAGCCAGTTTCTGGTCTTCCTCTGCTGTCCAAGAGCCTCTGTTTACTTCTTTCCTTGTACTTCGTCTGCTCAATGGAATCATTGCAAACTAAGGCAATTGAGCTCACTTGAACCACTACCAAGAGAGGAAGCTGAAAGTTTTATAATGAGCTTTCAGATGTGTATTTATGGCCTAGAGTAGGGGTGGCATTTTGGACCGAAAAACCGAAAAACCGCAAAAACCAACCGATAATTTACCGAAATAAAACCGCAATCGCGGTAAACCGAACCG